ACTGTTCCCAGTGATTTTAGGTTGATCAAGTTGACCAAGTTAACCATCACACACCTCATTAAACAAATGGGAATTTTACCTAGCTCTGTGATCTTCAAAAGCTTCTATGTTCCCATTTCTAAAAACTTCATTACTGTCAACTAATTAAAAAATATTTTTTTATTTTTTTATGTGCATGAATGTATTGCCTACATGTATGTAAGTGCACCCGTGTCGTGCAATGCCCACAGAAGCCAGAAGAGGGTGTTGGATCCGCTGAAACTGGAGTTATAGATGGTTGTTAGCTGCCATGTAATGGTGGTGGGAAGTGAACCTGAGCCCTCTGAAAGAACAGCAAGTGTTCTTAACCACTGAGCCATCTCCCTAGCCCTTAACCAATTTTTTTCAAATTTTTATTTATATGTACGTGTCTGTGGGTATGTGCACAAAAGTGCTGGTGCCTGTGGAGTTCAGAAGAGAGTTTAATCAGATTTCCTGAAGCTGGAGTTACAGGTGGTTGTGAGCCACCCAATGTGGATGCTGGGAATTAAACTCAGGTTCTCTAGAAGAGCAGCAAGTGCTCCTCTTAACTGCTGAGCCACCTCTCCAGCCCACACTGTCAACTCATTGTGAAAACTATGACTAGCAGTTGAGGAATTCTTTGCTCATATCTTCCTAGTTCTCTGGAATGTAACTTGAAGGTTCACTTTTGGAGAGTTTCACACAATCTTGTTTACACTCTCATGAAATCATACCTGATTTTTTCTACTCTCTAAGCAATGTCTTCCCCTTGGCTTAGATGTGTCACAGCACAAAGTTGATAGGGCTATGCCCACAGGCTGTCTGGAGGATCTGCAGGCCAGACCACTGTAAAACAATTAACAATGTCACCCTGTGCCAGGTGCCACAACAATACATGTCCTAACCCATTCTTCCTTGCAGTTTAATGCTAAGTTGAGAACAGTAGATTCCCCATTGAAATAGTGGAACAAGAAAAGTAATTTATTGTTTCTATTTATGGAACAATATAGTCATGGAAAGTTTAATCTTGAAAAAATATTGGTAATTTTTGCCATCTGAAAAAGACATGCTGTTAAGTGGCTTTTCATCTGGGTAATTTAGACTGGGTAATTTATAAACAACAGGAATTTATTGCTTGCAATTCTGGAGGTTGGGAAAGCCAGAATCAAGGCAGAGGAGGATGGGTCTGTGCCTCCAGGTAGATGGCACTTCTGACATCTTCACATGGTGGAGGGGCAGGCACTTCCTTGAGTCTTGTAAGGGCAGTAATGTCATTCATGAGTGGCATCCTCAATGACTTCATCACTTCCTAAAGGTTCTGCCACCTCTTAATACAGTCATACTGTGTACTACGATCCAATATTTGAATTTTAACAGAGGGGCAGGAAGGCACGAAGTTTCAGACCATAGCAGTGGATCTGGAGGTTTTTTTTTTTTTAATATTATTTTTATTATCTGTGTACGAGTGTATTGCCTGCGTGTGTGTGAGTGCACCCGTGTCGTGCAGTGCCTCAGAGGTCAGAAGAGGGCTTCCGATTCACCAGAACTGGAGTTAAAGACAGTTCGTAGCCACCATGTGGGTGCTGGGAATCGAACCTGGGTCCTCTGCAAGAGCAGGCAGTGCTCTTAAACACTGAGCCATCTCTCCAGCCCTGGATCTGGAGTTCTTGAAAGGACTCGCTAATGTGACTCAAGCTAGGATAGAATTGTGCATCCTTTACACTCTTCCCTGTCTAATCATGGCTGCCCAGGACATTCTCAGCCAACTCCTCTGTTAGCTGGTTCCTCTCTTCCTTCCAGCCTCTCACCTGATCTCCTGCTGCTGGGAGTTTTCTCGGATCACTCCAGAAGTAGCCCCCAGCCCGTGAACAATCAGAGTTAACTTATCTCCCTGCTAGATAGAAAGCTCCATCATGCCACTCACCTTGTGTTCCCAAGGCCTGGAACAAAGCTTGGTACATAGTAGGGGTACCATAGACATTTCTGGGAAGAGTGAATGGGCAAGCATGAGACTTCTTGCCTGCAGTCACACCCGGGGAGGCAAGAAAGTCCAAATCCACTCTGTGAAGTTGGGGGAAGGGCATAGTACAGAGAGGCTCCTGAGTGAAAAGTATATTTTATCCCTCCCAGTCCCCAAGTCATTGGGATGATCTGATTGCACACAATGGAGGTCTAAAGTTGATGGTCATGTACTTCCAAGGGAGGAAAATTGTATTATCCTTGGTAGAAAGTACATGAAGAACTAAGATGACAGAACTTTGGGAGCAGCAAACAGACCCCCAGGTTTCTGTTTCTCTGCTCCATATAGTGAAGTACATTGTAGACCCAGAATCATGAACCTCTTGCAATCTGCAGAAAGGAGCTCCAGCCCAGCGTGTCTACATAGGCAAACAGATGAACACATGCCCAGCCAGACGGTGAAAAAAAAAAAGATCCAAAGATTAGGACCTTCTACCAATACCTCTGCCTTGACTGTCCAGAGCACAGGGCTTCAAGTAGACTGAACCTGAGAAAAGCTTATCAAGAAAGTACTATGGGAGGCTTTGCAGAAGAGAATGGTTTGGGAGTGGCTCCACTGTTTAGGCCATATTTTGGCAAAAATCATGTGAGGGTGTACCTCATATGTACTGAGATGACAATGTATCTTGATCTTATCTAAACCGAATGTTCTCTCCCACTCCCTCTAGCCTTTCCTGACACTGTCCCCCCCATGTCATCTTTTTTAATTAACAAATTTTGTTCTTTGACAGCTTCATATATGAATATAATGCTTTCTGGTTATCTACTCCCCTCATTTCCCTCCCATACCCTCCCTCTTCCCTTCTTATCTCTTTCTCATATTTACTGGTTTGTGTTTCACTTAGTGTCCCACAGAGTTTATCTAGGGATGTCTGTGTGATTCTGAATTTGGAACTGATCATCAGAGCCTGGTGGGCTCACCAGTGGATATACAACTGGATACTATGCCTTCCCCTCTCCCATAATCTGTTAGTTGCCAATAGATCAGCAGTAAGAGGTAGGTCTCTGTGAGTCCCTTCCTTTCTCCATAGCTGTTAGGAGGGCCTAAACTGTTTTTGAGCCTCTAACCCACCACACAGCTGAGTCCATGACTGCCATGTGTGTGTCTGTGCTAAGATGGCATTTTACAGCCTTTCTCCCCGTTTTCTGGCTCTTAGTCTTTCTTCTGTAGGAGTTCTTGATCAGGGAGGCTCCAGAGAGCCCCAAAACAATATAGGCTCTTGCCATTCCTCTTGATTGCCCACCAGAACCAGTTAAAAAGACCCTATTGCTGAAGACATGCCACATACTTGAATAGTTCTAGAAGCTTCCTCCCTACTGGCTAGTTCTCACAATGTCAGAAAGTGCTATGAAGGCTGCTGGTAGGGGCAAGGGTAAAGGTGTCAATGAACTGTCAATGAGCGGTGAATTCTATGAACTATACCAACCTGACAGCCAAGATGTGCTTAGTGGTGCAATAGTGGCATGACTATTATGGGTAACTAATCATGGTGGTATTAAGGTTTACTGTAGAAGCAACTTGATGATTATTTGGTTTGGAGAGAAAAAGGCATTTATCTATCTTACAAACATAATTTCTAGCTTTTGTTATCAGCTTTTAAAATTTATTAGTTTTTTAAATTTTATCATTTTTATGTGTATGTTTGTATTGCCTGCATGTAGGTAAGTGCACCCGTGTTGTGCATTGCCTGCGGAGGTCAGAAGAGGCTGTCAGATCCCCTGGGACTGGAGTTACGGACAGTTGTTAGCTGCCATGTGGGTGCTGGGATTCAAACCTGGGTCTTCTGCAAGAACCACCAGTGTTCTTAACCACTGAGCCATCTCTGCAGCCCATTTTGCTATCAGTTTTAATAGTCTAAATAATGATTGTCATGGCTGTTCCATAAGGCAACACTTGCTTATATTTCCCCAAGCATTCTAGTAATTTGCAGAGGACAATGAAAACGTTTTACACAGTGGAAAGCTTTTCTATAAAATCAAAAGCAATTCTATGTTGAATTTTTTTTCCTGAAGACATGTAGATACAAATATTTTTAAATGCCCAAAGGTAAAAAGAGAAACAGAGTTAAGACCATCATATCTGATCAACAAACATCTAATTAGGTCAGATCCTGTGACAGCACTCTTTTACCTTGAAGTCCACAAAGGTACTCACTGGAAAGCAACACTCCCCACATCTTAACTCATGGTGAATTAAAGCTGCAGGTGACAGGCTAGAAGTGAATCTGATCTGGACTGTATGGTACAGATCTCCCTTGTCAACAGGGAACAGATCTTCCTCTGCTTTGTAAATTGTCACCATCAAAAAGGGTCTCTAAAAGTATGTAACCTGTAGGTTTGGACATAGTCCTAGCCAGTGACTCAGTAAGGAAAGAAATACAGAGTCAACTCACATCACTGTGAGGATTCTCAGGTTGTTTTTTTTTTTTTTTTTTTTCGGTCTTTTTGAGACAGGGTCTCCTTGTAGCCCCGGCTGGCCTGGAGCTCACTGTGTAGACCAGACTGAACTCAACCTCACAGAGATCCACCTGCCTCTGCCTTCCGAGTGCTGGATTAAAGGCATACACTGCCATACCCGGCCCTTCAGGCAAGTCTTTAAACCAATTTCATGTTGTATTTTTCCCACCATTCAGCTCTGTGACCACATATGCACTTGGAAAGTGTCTTTCCTTTGATATCTGTGCCTTGTTACTGTTGAGACGAGCCCTCAAGAAGCACTGCTGTTTGTAGGAATGGTGCTCTGGCCCAACGCATTCTGCAGCGATATGGTGTATACACAACAGAAGTCAGTCTCATTGATACCGATATGTACACTCTATGGAGAGCTGTCCCAACATCACAAATACCTGGATACTGACACTGGAGGCAGAACTGATGGTAACAGTCACACTTAGACCCACAGGTGCGCATCAGGTACTCCTTCAGTCCTAGATGGCAAAGCAAAAATCTAGACTTAAAAAACAAACCACTGACACTGCGAAGACAGGTGCAGATTATCCATTTTATTGCTTTCTTGTTTCTTACCATAGTCAATGTTTTTGAACAGTAATAATATGTCCAAAATTCAACATTTTAAAACATTCAAATAGTAAAATACAATGTAGAAAAAAGCCCTCTACTACCAACCCCTTTAAGCTATCTCTGGTGGAACTGCTTGGAAGAGAGGTGACTGGGATCGTTCATGTTGGTATGTGGAGAAAAGAGCTCTCTTCTGACCCAAAACCAAGAGGGAGTCTCAAGACCACCCAACCATTTGGTCTCCCTTTGAAATGATTGGGAGATTCCAAAATGGTGGTCCCTCCTTTCACCCACGGTTTAGAAGATCCTGTCCTACCCAAGAGAGTAGAAAGAGACACCCTTGGAACGGGAGGGATTACTATTAGAAGTCAAAGGCCAGAACTGAGCCCACTGCACAGAAGGCCACTGTGATGGTAGCTCTCTAGGCCTTTTTTATTATTTTTTGAACAAACAACCAACCACAAAAAAATAGCTTCTTTTAAGCACACATGGGTGATGCACTACGCAGAACCAGCTGGAAGCAGGGTGACTGTGAGCAGCGCTCTGCCTGAAGGCACAGGGTCCTCACCAGCCCAAGAGACAAGTCACTGTGTTTCAAAGCACATACATCCTACCTCTGAAAAATTGTCAGCTGCCATAAATCTGATTGCAATTTCAGCCTGGTCTCTTTTGCAAGGTTTCAGAATCTTAGGAATTCCTGAAAATCTTGATGTGTTCTGCTCCTTCTATAAGGAATCAGATTTCCAAGGGGTAGAGACTCAAAGGAAGACATGGCCTTAGAACATTATACAATAGGCGAAAATAAATACATGGCTCCATAGTGTGGATATGAAACTATCACAAACAAATAAATACCTCAGACCCCACAACTGCAGGTCACACATTAGTAATCACCGGTGGAGTCTTAAAACTGATTTCGTTATGAAACATTTATCTACCATGACTTTAAAGGACGAGAAAAACCATAAAACACTGTAATAGTTTTTGAGAAAGTTTTCTTCAGTACCAATGAGAGTGACTATTTAGTCAGTAATAATCAAGATATCCAATTTAAATAAATCCCTTTCAGTCCTTCCTCATGGTCACCTCAGGTTTCTGTAACAAGAACAGACAAGGGCCAACTGCACTTCATGGTGACACTGAGGGTGTGGTCACAGGAACTCTGTGAGGTCGGAGAGGACGGATAAGTCACACTTTTGCCTGAGGAATTATCTCAAGCCCTTCTTGCTTCTGAAATCCCAGTATCACAAATGCTCTTTAAAAACAAGGTGTCTCTAAAAAAGGAAGCAAAGAAGGAACATAAAGGTGCGTTTATTCGTGTCCATGCCGTTTAAAGCTACTGAGTATAGTAATCACGACTGGAGAAAGGATGAATCAAATCCTAAAACAACAAAAACTCTGGGACTTTTGCCCTCCCAACTGCAAGTCTGAGTGCCAAAGAATCTGCAGGCTGGCAAGCCAGTTTCCTCCCTGAGACGGTCTCTGTTCTCTGCCTCCAGTTTCTGTCTCTCTCGATTAAGGCCTGGACAGCATTAGCAGTGTGCAGTCTCTGCTGGGAGTTGTCAGTCACTTGTAGGCTCAGGCTGGGCGCAGTCTGGCTCCAGATCACTGGGCTGGGCAGCTTGCCTCTGCAGCTTGTCCACCATCTGCAGCAGGGCGGAGCGCTCCAGCTCCAGAGCCAGCACTGCCTGCTTCAGCTTGCTCTCACTGCTCAGAAGTTTCTCTACCGTGGCTTCGAGGCTTTGGATCCTAGCGTTTGCCACCTGGAGAAGGAAAGGAGAAATGAGAAAGTACCTGCCTGTGATCACACAGGACCGGGCTATGTGCTGAATGCCACCCAGCCTTGGGGAATTTTGCAGCTGGGTCTTGGCAGAAACAAGCCTACTGTGGATCAGTTCTGGTCACACTGGAAGATTCTCCCAGCTTCCCATGCAGACAGGCTGGGCCCTTTTGAGTTCTTCTAGCACCCTCTTCCCTGCTGTGGCCCCTCTGGACACCCAGGGTTGAGACAGTGGCATCAAAGCATATAGGAAACCCAGGGGAGGGCAGTGCTGATGTGGTCACAGCATTTGGGGGGGAAGGGGTAGAGCTCAGGGCCACAGCATGGCCTATTCAGACGACTCATACATCTACATGTACACACTGATTGAGACAGACAAATGGTTGAAATGGCTTCTATATGAAGGTACAAGAGTATTCGTAATAGCTCTCTAATCTGAATTTTTCTCCCCTTATTTTCCATGGAGTAATAGGACATCACTATATAGGAAACAGGGGCATTTCCCCTGGGACACAGAATGCTGCAAACAGTAGCATTCTGGTCAGCCTTTTCTCTGTATGGTTGCTGGCCACACACCACCCCAGGAGAAAGCAAACCCTCATTCCCATGCTAGAGGAAGCATGTTCTCAAGTTAGGGCCTTCACACCCACACACACCAGGGTCAGGGAAGGGGAGCTTTCTCTAGTCACTGGCTTCCATCTCTCATCCACTGTGTTCCAAGGCAACAAGAGGTGAGCTCTAGTGACATTGAGGCGGTCCTCTGAGAACACCATACAAGTTCTGACGGTCCAGTTTCTATTCCCAAGGCCTTTCTGGCCTGCCGCTCAGCTCCCACCAGCATTTGCAGCACTATGGTCAGTACGAGGCGGCTCTACCTCACTGGTCCAGTCCAGTCCCATTTATTTTAGCTGGGGAAAATGGTACATCTATTCTCACCCTAATTTTTAACCAGGAAAACAGCTATTTTGAACAAGATAACCCTTGTACCAGACAGAAAACCCATGATTCAAAGTCTAGTTCCAGCTGTGCCAGGAGAATACTGAAAATAAAGAGAGAAAAGAACCGGGAGCCACAGCCCATCAAGCTTCCAAGATGGAGGCGGGTGTGCCTGCTGCACATCCCTAACTTCTCAGCCTACCATCTTGTCCAGGAATGGGCCCAGTCCACGTCTGCATTTTGAGTGTAGCTCAGGAAATAGTGACTAAGTTTGCACAGTCATTTACTATGCTGCATTAGAAGCGAAGGAATTTGCACTGTACTTTACCGTTCTGCATAGATGGCAGGTCTCAGTAAGACTGGAAAAGACCATCTTATCTCTCACATGGTCTGGTCCCCTCAGTACCCCCACTGAGTGTGGGAACTCAAGGCCTTATAGATGGCTGATCATTAGGAAAAGCTTATGTGGGTTTCTATTTGCCACCAGCATGTCTATGTATTCACCTGTGTACTGTCTGACAAACAGGTTAAAGGGTTTCCTCTCTTGCTTTGAGGCATTAAAGCAAATAAACCCTTTCCTCTCCAAGTTGCTTTTGGTCATGGTGTTTATCACAAAAACAGAAAAGAATGAACAGAAATTTACTAGCTAGTTGGATATTGCTGTGATAGACCTGACCGTGTTGTTTTCTGGAAGGATTATGGAAATTTTAGAGCTTTGGGCTGGAAAAAGTCATTGAATGCTCAGAGCTTATAGAGCTACTATTGTGGGAGTTTAGAAAATAAGAATGTTTACAGAAATACAGATGATGGAGGCCTGGCTAATGGAGATTCTGGGGGAGGTTTGAGAGTCCCTCAAACACTATCAGGGCTGTACATGTGACATTTTCAATACAGAATCTGGAAGCGAAAGTTCTGTGTTTTACTGGGACAATAAATGCTAACTGGCTGGGGCTGAAAAATCAGTTGTGTTAAGAAGATAGCACCATCACTGAGGTGAAATCTCCTGGGAAGTACGTCCTCAGGGTCAGCACACAGAAGTTGTGATCCAGTGAGGAGTCAAGGCTGCATCTCGAGTTGGCAGTCAAACTTGGTAATGTCCAAGAGTCTCCTACAAGTACACAGCTGAGGCTTGGCACCACATAGCAGAGTTGGAGTTCCTGAAGACAGGCCAGAAAAGGTGAAGGGTACAGCTTCAGTCACAGTGGAAACTCCAGGATTAAAGGGGTCCTGGGGAGAATCTGAAGCCTGGCACCATGTGAAGCCAGGAGAGGCCACTGGTGAAGGTGCAGCCTCAGTTACAGTGGAGATCCACCATATTGGAGATGCCAGAACCAAGGACAGCAGCAGGCACAGCGTGAAGCTGGTCTGAGCCTAGGAGACAAGCTGTGTGTGCTGCAGATGGCACAGCTGGACAAGTGGAGCCGCCCAAACCTTTTGGAGTCCTGAAGATTGTGAGTTCATCCCAGATGTCGGACACTGAGCTACACTGCTGGACTTTGATTTTGATGACGTGTGCCTGATTCTTCCCATTTGAAATAAGAAAATATGTTTTTTATTTTATAGGAGCCCAGTTAAATTAACTTTGGATTTTAAAAGAGAACTTAAACTTTTAAATTGTTGGAATTTTCAAAGACTGTGGGACTTTTAAGGTTGTACTGTACTTTATATTATGATAGTAACATAAGATCCTGCAGATACACAAGAAAGGAAAGGTTATGGTTCAGAAGTGTTGTATTTATGTGTCAAGTCAACAAGGGTCAACTTGATACAAACCAGAGACACCTGGGAGGAACTGTATCCATCAGAAGAGACACCTGGGAGGAGGGGTCCCAAGCGAGGAACTGTGCCCATCAGATTGCTCTGTGGGGCATTTTCTTGACTACTGAGTCACGGTGTGGGCCGGCCCAGCCCACTGTGGGTGGTGTCACCCCTGGCAGGTGGGCCTGGGTTACAGAAGAAAGCAGGCTGAGCAGAGGCCAGGGGAGCAAGCCAGAAAGGCGCCTCCTTCCATGGTCTGTGCTTCAGCTCCTGCCTTGAGTTCTTGCTCTGACATCCCTCAAAGATGAACTGTGGCTTGGAAGTGTAACATGAAATAAATCTTCCACACCTCCCAAGTAGATTTTGGTCAGTGTTTCATCAAAGCAACAGAGCAAACAAGGGCAGGCATGCTAGGCCAATGTCAGACATTTAAGATTTTGTTAAGTGCTACTAATTTATGTGCTCACAGCAATGTAGGAGAGTTTAATTTTCCTATATAGTTACTTTCACTGTTTGTCTTTGCAATCTGATTTTTATTTATATTTATTATTTTTAAAATTTTTATTTTTATTTTATGTGTATGCATGTATTGCCTGCATGTAGGTAAGTGCACCCTTGTCATGCAGAAGAGGCTGTCAGATCCCCTGGGACTGGAGTTATGGACAGTTGTTAGTTGCCATGTAGGTGCTGGGATTCGAACCCAGGTCCTCTGCCAGTGTTCTTAACTGCTGAGCCATCTCTCTAGCCCCACAATCTGATTTTTAAAATAATTATGAATCATACATATGAACGGGTTTCACTGTGACTTTCCATATAGGCAAATATTGTGCTTTGATCACATCCACCCTCCCAACTGCCCTTTCTTATCTTCTCTCTCACTCCTTCCCAGAAATCCCTCTACTTTCCAGTCACCCTCCTAACTATTTTTACTTTTACCTTCTTGCTCCACATGAAAGCACTACTTGTCTTTGTGCACCACATCACATTTTCTTATGTTTAAAGATAACTAAATGGGACTTTGGTATGTCCATCAACAAAGCCAAGCTTCAAACTGGGTAAATTCTGATACTTGAGAAAAAAAATTTATGTATAAACTTTCAGATCATACTGGGCACTTATGCAAATAAACAGGCAGGATTCTCGCATATGAAAAGCACACTTTCATAGAAGATTATGGGAAAATATATTCAAATCCCCACAGACCCTATCCCATTCAACACCACACCACAATCCCTAGCCTGCTTCTCTGAAGTAAGCAGCATCCTACTCAGCTCAGCACAGCAGGGCTCAGTAACTACAGACTGGCAAACCTGTAATTTTGGATAACATTCTCCCTGAAGTGCAGAACCACTCAGTTGAGAGGAGGACCATGCCTGGGAGACCATCTAGGATTACTGGTTACCATGGGAGTCCTTTCCTTGAGCATACAGGTTTCTGAACAGTTTTTCACAACTCCCTATCCTTACAAAAGGTGTGCAGTGTCACAGAAGCAGCATGAAATTTCTTTCAACTCCTTAAAGAGCAACGTGGGCATTAGCCTAAGAAAACGAACCTTGTAACAAGCTGAATGCTTTAAATGCAAATGTGACTGTCAGAAGTGCTCCCCTCACCAGGTGTCCACTGCTGACTTGGAAGCCCTTGAAAACGACCACCTGCACTGTGTGCCCCCTGTGAGCCAGAGCAGGTTCTTTGCCCACGTGACTTCCCTTCAAGTGACAGCTAAGACTTCCAGGGAAGAATGTAACCAGGCATATTTTCAGTAAAGACAGGTCAAGCAGTTTAATAGCAGAATGTGCCTGGCAGTTAGGACTGGGTGATGGAAACATTCTGTTTTTGTTCCTCTACATGGAGTATCTATCTACCCGAATCGACTTGAATAAGCAACTGATGCAAGGAATGCGTTTTAGGCAGGGTTAATGGATCAGGCACTCAAATGCTGACTTTTCACACATCATGGCCAAACATGTGTCTACAGAATGGCAACATCCTACAGAGAAAGATCAAGCCTGAATCAGGATGGAAAGCTTATTTATGGAATGCCTAGGCACTCCATGAACAATTTATTTTTAAGATACCTCCTAATCCCTGAACACTGAGGCATGCTCTCATTATAACATTAACAGAGAAGAATGCATGGTTGCTTGGTGCCATCTGACTAGCAGGAGTGGCACTCTGCAGTGAGGTCTTTGTCACATAGGTAAGGGAACAGAACAGTGTCTGGGGGATAATAGTGTGCATGGGCCTCACTGGGTCCCGCCTGCCTGGGCCTCTGGACTCTGTCCCAGCGCTCATTCCCTCTCCGTTCTGCACACACAGTTCTGCTGTTCTGGGTCCTCACCTGCATTTATCCATGTTAAGATGGAATGTTCTGGAGGAGAGAACTGTGCCCTTCAATAAACAGATCTTTGCATTTATATCAAAGACTTACAAGTAACTCTCATATGTTCTGGTTTATTCTGCTAGGTAGACTTCTATGTCACTTCCCTCCCTTAACATCCTTCCAAGGACTTAGCTTATTTTGCCTACTGTGGGGAAAGCCCTTGACTATCTCATCATTATTCAAAGCGTAACTGCTGGCATTCAGCTAATGGCACCACACCATCCGGAACCAAGCTGGTCTCTGGGCCTGTCTCCTAAAAGGCTAAGTGTAGAAAAAGCCTCTCAGAAAGCTCCAGGACTGTCTGACCTTAGCAAGGACAGTCTGTGTGCTCTGTAATAAAAAGGACCGATTCTCCTGGGATACCTTTGATCACAACTACAAACAGAGTGGGGTGGGAAAGGTCCTCTGGCCATGGGAAAGCCCAGCCTGTTGGTGCCTTTGGTGAGTTAATGAACTACTGTCACTGTGGCTCAGGAAGCTGCTTTGTAAATATGCTTTACCTGTAATTGTTCGAGGAGGTCAAGGTTCTGTTTGCGTAGGCTGCTGTTGGTTTTCTCTAATTTATCTATTCTTTGGTTGTCACTGAGTGGAGAGGAATCAATAAGTTCTTCTTGAAGTACATGGTACTCAACCTCATAGGCTTGTAACTGTTTGGCGATATCCATCTCAAACACCTGTGGGATACAGAAAACTTATCAGAGGGTGAAACAAGTCTCCCACATGCACATGCACCTATACAAATACTCATGTCAACATCTGTCCATCACCCCTTAGCCTCACAGCTGGCAAGCCACAAAGAAATAAGAAAAACTCTCAGCACTCTCAGCTCTGAGAAGGTCAGAAGGAAGGATGTAAGAAACGTCTAGAAATAATTCCAAAGGAACTGTAAGTACAGGTTCTGAGATTTTTCTTAAATAAAGCAAAAACTTTTTTTTTTAAAAGGCTTTCAAAATTTCATTTTTAGCTCTTACTTGTTTTCTCTGAATATTCTATCAGATTAAATACATTGGCTATAGGTAGAACAGTGACAAAATAAAAGTATAGCCTATTTGCATAGTCACCACGTCGAAGTTTAATTAAAATTCAGCTAGTTTTCAGAGTTGCAAGAAGAGTGAAGTAATGGAGCTGTTTATTGGAATGTCCTCTTTGTGGAGCCAACCCCAAATGTCACCCACACAGATGACTGAATACAAAACAATGCCTGGCTTGTCTCTCTTCCTATAAGAGCAGTGATGACAGAGCCAGATGTGTGGAAGAAACCCCAAAGTGCACAAGTGACTCAGGTGATGGTGTCTGTTCTTTCTCCTGGTGAGGAAGCAGCAGGGCTAGATAAGAGAGAGCTGTAGCGAGTCAGAGGGTAGATACCATACTGTCCAAGGCATCCCCTCCCTTCCTGTGTCCCTGTGGTGACCCTGTAGGCAGGGGCCACTCAGTGCAAGAGTGCAGCCCTATATTAGTTATTTTCTTGTTACTGTGACAAAATACCTGACAAAAGCTTAAGGAAGGAAAGATTTATTTGGTTCACAATTTACGAGTCCAGTCAGTCCATCATGGCAGGAGAGTCCTGACAGCAGAAGCATGAGGTTCATACTGAGGAAGCAGACAAGAGATAAAAGTTGGTGCTTGGCTTGCTCTCTCCTTTATCTTCAGTTTGGCCCATGGAATGGTAGGCCTTCCTACTCAATTAACCTAATCTAGAAACTCCCCCTCATAGATGTGTCCAGAGGTTTGTCTCCTATGTGATTTTAGATCTTATCAAGGTGACGATCAACAGTATCAACAGTAACCGTCACAGCCCTCAAGGTAGATCTGGCAGATCTGAGAGTCTGGTCAGGTTCTTCTTGCCTGTTAGACCTTCTATAATGAGTCTGTTAGGTCAGAAGACTCTTCTGAGAATGCAGTCAGACTTCATAAGGGCAGAAACTGACTACTGTATTTCCTTACGAAGGAACCTCCAACAGAGTTCAGAGCCATAGAAAACAAGCTTCTGTTGATGGATGCTCTAAGCACTGGAACCATCTCCAAAAGCCACTGGCCTTCTCACCATATCCAACAATCTCACTCTATCTCCCTTCTGATGAACTTTCAGCTTCCTGCTTTTCAGTTTAACTCAATGATTACTACTAAGGATATTCAAGTCATTCTATGGCTACCAAAATACATGCTATCTGTAGGGGGGAGGGAGAACAATTAATTTTATCAACCTGATCTTTTTGTCCCTGAGACTGTATAGGGACCTATAGTCCCTAAGTGACCATAAGGTCAGTGGGCACTAGTATCTCATTTACAGTACAGGTTAACTGACTTGGGCTGAGTCAGCTTTGAAATTGGTGCTCCACTGGCAAATCTCTGAATAATCCTGAGAAACTTATTTAACCTTGCTGGCCTCAGTTCTTGGCTTCCTACACAAGGTAGTAACATCTCTCTTCCAGCATCCTGCTGGGGATGAAAGGAGGCAGCTCACAGAAGTTTCCAGTACATACCTGGCAAGCTCTTCTTAGCTGAGGGATGTGGTTTTCACTCACCTGTCAGAAATCCTTGTATTTCAATTCAAGTCTCAGACCTACAATGGATGCCATATCATGGAATTTCTGAATAGTCTTCTCAGAGCAAAAACCACAAACATGAACTTGGAGATTGCTACAGCACAAGTGTGTAATTACAAACAGTACTGAGTATCATCTCCTAACCTGTAAAAGTTAGGAACAAAGCCTCTGGCCTTTTGTGTAGGCTGATGATGTGTTAAGGTTAAAGGCTCCCAGCTGTGACCATAGGCCACACTCTTCCAGGCCTCCATGAACTCCTAGGAAATATCCCGGGCCCTAAATGTCTCAGTTTAATTGTAACATCTAGTCAAAACAGTCCATGATTTTGCAGTTGTGCCCCAGAAATGGTCCAAAACCACAGCAGTCTGTGGCTGATGGTGAAAGCCTTGAATAGTAGGTTCGGTCTTAGGTCACTGACTTGAGCAAAGGATAGAAAAAAAGGAAGGACCCTTCTTGCACACTTAGAGGCACAAGTAGATCCACTGATGATGCCAGTTCCTACGCCCCACCCCCCGACCCCCAAGCAGAAAGGCCTACGATTGAAGCCTGATCTCATGGTGGCATATCTCAGAGAAACACAATCAATAAACTGAAAATGTTAGATACTGGGTGATGATTGGGGGGAGCGGGGATCAACATACACTGGGGGAGGAGTTTCTTGGGCAAGGGCAGGTCCTTCCTAGGCACATGAGAGGCCAGGGGAAGCTACCTCCAATGAGATTTGGCTGGGCCTTCTAGAACCCATTCCCTAAGCACGGTCACTCCAAAGAGCTGCCAGGACCAGCCTTGTGCTCCAGCCTTCCTTCTACATCCATCTCAGAGCAACTCCATTTGAGCTGTAATTACTGGGGATCTGGTGCCTTTCTACCAACTTGCTCTTGCTTTCTCTAAGATTTTCAAGCAAGTTCCAGAATTTGGGTACTCAAAGGTGCATTCTCTTCTGCCTGCCAAAGCAAGAATTACCTATTTCCCTATGTTTAGTGTTTTTCCAAAAAGACAAACCATGAGTTTTGTACTGAAGCAATAAAGCTGTATTATAGGACACATGGAAAATAAAAACCACCAACACAACATCCTTCATCTTTATACTTCCTTTCATCCTTATTACTATAAGCATATTTTTCTGGTTGTAAACACAACATAAAATACCCTAGCCCACTCTTTCCACTTAATTTGATATTCTAAGAGCTTTCTCATGTTGCGCTATGTTCTCCATAACCATAACTATAAATGGCTTCATGGTTCTTTACCAACTCAGCATACCACAAACATGTCAGCCCATTCATCACATGTTGGACATCTTGATATGTTCAATTTTTGTTATTATAAATGACAACTCTAAGAGAATTTACTTACATATGGATTTTCCCATATTTTGGACTAATTCCTAAGGATACATTCCAAAAACTGGGATTACTGAGTCAGGAGAGCATGGGTATTTTACTGCCTTGTGATATTTGTTGCCAAACCACTTCCCATGTAGGAATAATCAAGTTATGGTACCACTAGCATGTACTGGTAGCATACCCTCAGTGCCACATACTGGCATGCACTGATGTGCCAGATTTAGCACACCTTCAGTGCTGTATATTGGCATTAAAGAAAGTCAGTTTGTTAATCTAGTAGGTAAGGCATTATATGCTATGCAGAAAATTAGGTTATCCATGACACTAAATATTTTTCCAGATGTCTGTCTGCTAGATGGCTGTCCCCTTCAGTGAGAGGGAAGAGCCATCTAGCAGGTCACCTGCTTGTGCTATTGGATCATTTGCTACTGAAGACTCAATGTTTTTCTGTTCAGTCAGTACACATGGTACAATGCAGCCACTAACTGGTGGCCTGTAGACCTAGCCACATGCTTTTGGCTTTCCTAACTTCTAAACCTTTCCCCAAATCTGTTGGTTGTGCAGGCCAGTGGGAGCAGTCTGCTTGGGTATCAGCAACAAGGGGGCAGTGTCTGTAGTGAACTTAAAAGCCATTATAAGGCTAACTAAAATCCGACCTGCTTTAAATTCTCACCACATGGAGCAGCTGAGCGATGCCAGTGGTGGAACACTTCTGCTGTGGCGTTCCACCCCCTTGGTGTGGTATCGCTGACTGTCCTTTTAGAAACACTCGTTTCCAACAGTGCAAGAGGCTGCCTTCTGAATACAGGAGCTTTGTGAAGACTTTCCTTTCCACCTGACAAGCTCAAGTACAACAGGGAAAAATGCACTGAGTAAAGATACCCACAGCAGAGGTTACACAAGGTCCTGTGCCTATGGATCCCCTGGGGATCTCATGAATGTGCAAATTTTGAGTCAGTAGGTCTGGGATGGGGCCCCAGTTCTGCCTTTCTAACAAGTTGCTACATGATCTGATGATGCTGGTTTGGGGCCACACTGCAGAGACCTAAACCAAGCTGAAAGGCTGAGGCCTGCCTCCCAAAGTGAACTTTTGACTCTTCCTGCTACAAACTGAACAGAGACTGCAGGTGGCACAGCACTCACCATGACAAGTCTGCAACACTGCTGTCCCTCAGTTCTGGTCGTTCCCAGAGTGCCCTCTTTGTGGGTAGGAAGATGCTTAGTTTACTGCACCCAACAGTTCTCCCAGTGAGCACAAGGTCAGAGAGAGGAGTATCAGTGGCTTCAGAGTCCCTAGGTCTTCTGCCCTGGAAAGCTGACCTTGGAAATTCCTCTGAGGCTGCTCTCAGTGTGACTATACTGAGCCAAGGTTCTGGAGCCCTGTCCCTAGACGCTCTCTCCCATCCAGGAATCAGGCTGTGCCCCAGTTGCTCAATTGGTCTTACAAGGAGGGCATCTAATAAAATGGGGTAATGCTGCCACAGAGGATCATGCCCCACCATAGCTACACCCAGTCTATACACAGGGCCATATGCTCTGTCACTTTCAAGGACGGCATTCACTACTTCCATCCTGTAGACCTCCCAGGTTGGAGCCTGGGGACTCCCCAAGGCCATCAAGGAACTGTGCTACACACCTCAGACCTGATCCCTATAAAAGACTTAAGTTCAAGTACCCTCTTCAGGGGAGGAGGCAGCAAGCCTAAGAACACTCAGAGGTCAAGTTCCACACTGTATCACAGGTGGGAAGGAGGGCAGGGAGCTGCCTGCGCTCTTACCTGTT